CCTGCATTAGTTGAGAAATTCAGTGTTTACAAAAGCTCACTGATTGAAATACTAAGCATAAGCAGCTAATAAAGTTTCAATATTAGTTTTCAATACTTTCAATTATTTGAGACACTCATATTTCATCAGTATGATGACTGAGGTATGATTTCATTTGTAACAAAAATACATTGAAATTGCTAAAGCAGATTTAACAACCTGATTGGAAGAAATTGTATAGTTTTCCATTTGGCAGGAGGGTTAACAGACTCATGTTTCAATTATAATTATTACCTCCTAACCATGTAACGTTACACGGGCACATATGTAGTCAAACACGTAGCATTTTGGACATGGTGCATGCCACTGCTAATGAACGTGAAAATACACCATTTTCTGTATTTATTAAATCATAGTAGGGGTGTAAATCACCAGCTTTATCACGATACGATATTACTACGATATGTTTGGATTAGGGCTGGGCGGTATGACCTCAAATCCATATCACGGTATAAATTGAACCCCTTCATGGTAACGGTACATATCGCGGTAGGAAATTATCATAAAAAGTTAAGATAATGTAATTTTAGAGCATTTTTTTGCAGAAAACTGTAATCTTAATTAAACCCAACATTTTTGCTTTAATATCTGCCTGCCAAACACTGAGCTTTCTGACTGCTGAACTTATCAGCTGCTGTTCTGCTGCAYGCTCATCTTCATCATCAGAGCAGAAGCTGACTTTACATTAGCAAGATGGATTTATGACTGAACGAACATCCACGTCTTTTTTTTTTAATAATCTCTGTGGGTAACAATACATAAAACATTTTTTCTCCAACAATTCGGTGCGAAAAACTACAGTTGTTAAAGTGTCGCTCTGCGTGACGTGCAGCAGGAGGAGAGGAGAGGAGAGGAGGAGGAAATGATCCCGCGTCACCACGTAACTTTTCTACAGCGGGAGGAGGATATTTTGAGGATTTATTCTCTCTACACGTTTTAAAACGCTATAATTTCTTCATTATATTTCGAACTCCTGTTCTGTTGTCTCTGCACTCGCAGCCATGCTGACACAGGTGCAATGTAATGACGATATGACGGTAGAGGTTGAATTTCTACCGTAGGCCAACTTAATACAATTTCTACTGTCTACCGCATATACCGCCCTAGTTGGATGACTTCAACATTTCTCAATATCACAAAGTCTGTCATGATACGATTTCAATTCAGTTCAGTTCAATTCACATACCTGMRATCGATATAATGCGATATCATATACCCATAACACRGCGACTTGTGTTAGATAGGCATATATCGATTCACATCGAGAATATGATGACGATAAAGATGGATATTTTCATTTTGCCTCGATATAACTGAATCATGAACCATTCAAACTGATATATCGTCATAGATCRATGTATTGTTGCACCCCTAAATCATAGCCAGCACAAACCAAGTTCCCAAAACTCTTCTTCACACAAAAAGCCAGACATGATCAGAACWAACATCCTCCAGATGTAGGTGCAAAAAGCTTTTGAGCACTTTTCCCAAACCAAGATTGCTCTCTGATTTCTGAGCACACGACACAGTTAACTTGCAGTGAACCACAGCAGCGAGTTATCTTCAAGGAAAAGTAGCTGAGAACTGGTTTTTGATTGTCTGGTCTGTCTAAACTGTATGCCTCTCAGCTCATCAATTCCTTTCATCTTTGCTAAAATATTCCTCTGGCAGCCGCTCACAGCAAAATACTGCCAAACTCAAGCATCCAAAGCTTGAAACAAAAGAGTCGTGCCAAAGATGAAGAAATGATTTTCCTTTTACAAACAAACATAAAAATAAGACAGTTTGTATTCTGTTTAAAAAAGTAAAATCGGTATTTAATAGAATGGCTCTAAACAGGATTTTAAAGGAAAAATGACGACTTCATGTGAGCATCCTATAATTATGAAAAGCCCTAACAGTTCACAGCGAGAGGAAAGAAAACAACATTTCTAAAAACATGTTTACCATTCTCCCTATCTTTAGATAATTAGCCACTTACAGCTGGGGGGAACCAGGTAGCTCAACTAGTTGATCAGGTGCCTCATTAAGTAAAGATCATTTCCCAGATTCCCCTGAAGTCAGTGTCTGGTTGTGGGTCTTTGCCACACATAAATCTTTGGTTAGCTGTTATKAATCAAAGACATTAGCCACAAATATGTTCATCCCAAATGCTAATACTAAATACAGGCTAGGGGTCTGCAACCTGTGGCRCTTTGGTCCCTCTGCAGCAGCTCTTTGAAGCTTTGACCAAAGCTAAAATCAGATTAAATCTTTAGTTCTTTATACTCACAACARAAAAGGCTAGATTTATTAATGTTCCTGTCAATCTGTTTGCAACGGTGCTTGATRCTACAAATACAAAGAGTGAAACATRTTAATTAGATCATGCTAGTAGCCCGTTATAAATAATCCAACTTGCAGCCTTAAAGTATGTTCTCTCAAATCCATCAAGCTTTAAAACATTTAAGAATTGACTAGATAATAATCCCAATAAGACGACTTAAAAACAAAAATGTCTTCATAGTTCAGTTGTAGTTTATTAAATTTAATATAAAGTATTTATAGTTTTCTTGTTTACATGAATAAGGTCTTTTCTTTTGTACTGATGTGATAAAGCTAAAATTCACTACATATTTTTAGATGTTATAATGTCACCACCACTGGCCGGAAAGACCCCCATTCAACAAACAAAGTGGCCCACAGACCACCAGTTGATAATCACAGCATGTTTTGTAGGGGTGTAAGAAAATATCGATACGCTGAAATTTCGTAATATTTCATTTCCCGATACTGTATCGATATTCTAAAGCCCTGTATCGATTTTTTATTAAGGTTTAAAATGTCAACTTTCCTGCCAGCTGTTCATTTTTATGTTGTAGTTCAGCCTCTGACCACTAGYTGGCAGCAGTGAGCCAGCCATTTGGCTACTCTACCTCTTGAGCGCCAGAGAGTAAGGGTAGCATTAGCATTGTAAGTAAACATTAGCTTTTCTTTTTTTTTTTTCAGTAAGAGGTTTTTATTTAATAGAATTTTTGGACAAAAAATCGCAATATATCGCCTTGCTTATAGTATCGCAATATATCGGCATATATCGTATCGTGACCCCTCTGTTATGATATGTATCGTATCGCCAAATTCTTGCCAATACACAGCCCTAATGTTTTGCAGCTCGGGACACTTTTTTAATTTACAGCCAAGGAACAGAAACAATATGATTGTAAAAAGGTTGCAGAGACACCTGGTATGGGCTAAAATGCTAACTTGAATAACTTGAAATACAAATCTATTAGCATGCTTTGCATTTCTGTTAAAATAGCCAAATTAGGGTGTTTTCCCCTCAGTATGAACATTTTAGTGTGAATGACCAAAAATATACAAACACTGCCCTATTTAAAAAAAAATTTAAACTAAAATTTAACAAAAAAAACCTATTCTGTGACATTTGTTACTGGTATGCACCCAGTTACATGTTCCAGTTGGACTGTTTTGACTGATCAGCTGCTGTCTTAATGTGGACAGCTCTGAAGCTGGACACAAGGCCCTGCCCTGTCCTGTCCTGTCCTGTCCTGCCAGGTTCTCCCTGTCAAATATTTATAGCAGCTGAAACGTTAGATGGTCACACAGCACAAGCTTAAAGCTGCCGGAACAACGAGCCAAGCAATAAAACCAGCTAMAGCACAACCACTTTAAAAACACCACCTGCAAAACAAACACACAAAAAAATGATGAATTGTATGAGTTTGACGCAATTCTGAGTCTGCTCGGAGGACGTGAGTGTTTCCTCGAAGTGAGGGGGTTGGGAAGTGAAATCTGCTGGGTTTGTTTTTTCCCCCAATTATTCACAGCGTCGTCATTAAGTCATGGCAAAGCTTCAGGTTAAAACAAAAATACAGAACTTGAAGCAGCGCCAGGCAGTCGCAGGCTAGTTTAGCTTTTAGCAAAGGTTGACAAACATTTCGTTCTTTTTTTTTTTTTTTTAACTACTTAAAGTTTCTGGAAACATCTGCCTGAATCCCCCCCTTCCCGTGTTATCAGTTCCTGAAGACGTGTCGAGACCAATGAAGTTTAAACTGTCGAGGCAAATAAAGCAGATAGCTAAAAGGGCTCTGTCTAAAGATAAATATCTGAAACACACAGCATCTTTCAGGATTAGTGCTTTAAATGAAGCAGGCTGTCGTCTAGCAGCCTGAAGACAGACGAGAGTAGTGACCGAGCTCAGTCTGCCTGTCATAGCCCGACAGGACACACACACACTTTTAAAAAAAACGACCCAAAACACGACACCGGTACCGAGAGGGACACATTACCTTGCTGCCCTGGAAGCCCTCAAACGCCCTGAGCGCGCTGTCAGTGAGTTTAACGTGGAAGACGGTGACATTATTGCCGTTGCTCACTCTTCCACAGGACAGTCCGTAACACTGCTCCTCCTTCAGCGCCGCCATCTTGCCACCGTTCCCACCACGCGCACGGTCACGGACGCGCTTGTGTGTGTGTGTGTCGTAAAGCGAGAAGTCCCGTTGCTTTTTCAATGAATATTCAGCGACTCGCTCACTGACGATGAAATCACCGAGCAACAGGAAATGAGCTCCGTCTTCGACAGCACGTTTTCAGTTTTCATGGTTAAAATKAGCAGTGTCCTGGTGAAGTCTGAAAGCAACTAAAAAGTTCAATGAACTTACTGAACAAGAAGCCCATTAAAACTAATGAGAGTCTCGTGGTCTATGTGATTAAAGTCACCTGCTGCAGTCAACAGAAAAATGTTTCTAGTGATTATATTTGGTTTAAATCCATTTAGTGTGAAAAACTGGGCGAATTTCTGGTGATTTGGTGTTGACATTTTTTATTTAGTCAAAAGAAGCAAATATTGGAAGCTTAGGCCTACTTTCTGTGGGGGATTTCAATAAATGAGGGTCAAGATTAGCTTTATAACATAAACGCATCAACCACAAACAAGCAGGAGCAGTAAGTTGTGTTCTTCATTAGCTTGTTTCTTTCTAATCAACTTACCTGCATGTAATCCCTGCAGCACATGTTCGTTTCCTCTGTCCACTTGTTTTTTAACTGTGCAGAAAGCAGCAGTGGTCATTCTGTTTTCCTCCAAATTCAATTTGCACTAAATGAACAAAACCRATATTTACTCAGCTAACAGACCCTGAAAAGGTTCATCAGCTGAGTGAAGGAACTTAAATGAAACATGTTTTTAGGAATAAAATACTCTGTATTACAGAAACCGTCTTGTCCTCATAACAAATGTCCTAAAGCTCGTAGACTCAATACTATACTAATACCATACTACTATACTATACTATACTATACTATACTATACTATAATAGTCCACTCATTAGTTAAGTGATCCATTTAGAAGTTGAAACTTTTCTTTTGACATCTCTTATTAAATACTTTTAAGTTTATATATTATTGTTAACACTTAAAAACAGCTGCTGAACACGTTTGCATTACCCAGGTGGATGTCTCTGAGTGCTTCTATTTTTTATGTAATCAGAAGATTGCATGACTTATATTTCATTCAAACTGAAGGCCCAGGTCTAATAGTCTGGGTTTGCCTCTAAGCTAAATCCCCTTTTTTAACGGCACTGCAATAGGACCCTAAAAGCTAACTATTGCGAACACCTTACCCAGCCCACGTGAAGAGCTGTCTTCCTGTGGGCCCACCCTAACCACCTGAGTCTGGTGCCATGTGCGGCAGAGGCCTTGGCTCTCTGACTGTGGCTTACTGAAGCTGGCTCTWGGGATGTAGTAAGTCACCTCTCTGGTRGGGAAGGAGCCTGGTATTGGGAGAACAGGGTCTGACTGTCGTTGGTGCCTCTTATAGGAGTCCTATAGTGCTGAAATTAGCTTCAGGTAGGGACTCCTTTATTCTGCTGGGGGTACTTCAATGCCAACATGGGTAGCGACAGTGYATTCTGGTGGAGAGTGATTGGAAGGAAAAATGTGTCTACCACCGCATAAACAACTGATTAGCAGCGCCATTTCCTCCACCATTTTTATTCTAGATCACATTTAACTGCCGGACATGAATGGCATATTTAATTTGTTCATAACAACCATGAACTGTAAATTACACAACAGAAACAGTAGTTTTATAAGACCTGTTTATTTATGATAAATACAAAATTAACATACACCGGGAATACCAAGAACTTTTCCAACTAACTGTAGCAAACATTTTTAGATTACGCAACTTTAGGCTCAATCAATCTATCATCTACAGAGGAAACCACATGTTTGGCATAGACACAGTTTTGGATGAGCTGAAGCAGTAATCATTTTAGGACAACTTCTCAGGCAAACGTATGGTCGACTCGAGAACATAATTCAACATTTGGTCTTAAATCAACACAACTTAAAATATAATGAACTACAATCAAGAAATAAACATTATTTTATCTCCGCTACAAAAAATGGTCCTGTGAGCCTTAATTTACTGAGCATACATGAACTAATAAAATAAATGTCCCACTGAAGTAAATTGCAATCTAAAACCATCAGTGGCATCTTTGTCTGACGCCTCAGAGACATGCTAATTTAATTCCAAGTTATCTAATAAGAATATAGCTTGTTTCACCCAAAATAAATAGTCTGGTGTTAAATTTTTCTTACAAATAACTTTCAATATCTAGGACTACTGTATTGCACTGCTGTACAAGTTTCTGTTACTTTGGTCTATTATTGAATGTATGAGCAGAATCTTTAAAAAAAAAAAGGAGAGCTAGAACACACCCAGATCATCTTTCCATCTTGTGGAGCTTAAATAACAGGAGTAGTTTGATTAGAAACACTGTGCCATAACAAATAAAAATCACATCTCTTGGAAAATAAATTATCTTGTAAGAAAAATCTAATAATTCAAAACTAAAAAAAAACAATAAAACATAGCATAAAGCGCTTTGTCTCTTAACTAAAAGATATTAAATTTTTATTTAGTTTTAATCCCTCCTCATACAGATTTTCATTTCAAAATATCAGTTTCCAACACTGGCTACCAACAACAAAAACATAATAGCAACAAATGAAAACGATGTCTGGCACTGTGACGGATGTGCATAGGCCCACACACTTAGAAGGCTGGAAGTCCATTCCTTATATAGTAATATTACCATTTATTGTTTGTCTCGAAGTTCTCAAACATAGTAGAGAAAAGAGAGCGAGCGACCACCTTACGCTTCCACATCCTTTGAGATCAAAAGATGTTGCCAGATTTGCTTCAGTGTTTTCAGGCTCATCGAGTCGTCGCCACTTTAATTTCTGGCAGCTATGACAACAGATAGAGCAACGCCACCAATGGCTACCGCGGTGGCACCGAAGAGCCACTTCCAGCTGAGATCCTGTAAGAAAACAAACAAACTTTGCATGTTGAATGAATTAAAAACAACAGGACAAGGCTCGTTTTCCTAACCTCAACTATTCTGACACTGCATTTTTAAACTTTGTTTATGCATTTCTCACCCATGAAGACTTGGCCCGAGGTTTCTGTGTGCTGCTCCTACTAGAGGGGTTACCCAGCATTTTCTTATACATGGCCTGCTCTGCTCCCCTCTGCTCCGAGTTCTTCTTCACCAGCTTGGAGAGCTCTGCGTGAATCGTCTGTGCGGGGGAGACGAGAGGAATAAATGCTGCAGGAAAACTGTTCAAACTGAACAAACTTGTGTGTGTCAATCAATACTGTTATTCTGATCTGCAGTACACAAAGTCCTGCTGCAGTGTAACAAACAACCTGATAATGTGCTMAGATGACAAAAAAACACTCATTAACAGAGACAAGTGGTCTAAAAAAAACACAAGAAACATACAGTTATCTCTATATCTCATTGGACAAAGACATTTTCCTTTGGTTCTGTACATTTTCATGRTGAATTTTGAAAAAAACCTTTCAGATGCASTTTAAGTTCRGACTCTCCGTCATTGTCCATCTGTATTATGGAACACCGACCAATCYGTTTGTCTGGATCTGAGCACACAGTATGGCTCTGAATACCTCAGAATTCATTCGGCTGCTTCTGTCCTGTGTCACATCATCAATAAACACCAGTGACCCAGTGCCACTGGCAGCCATGCATGTCCAAGCCATCACACTGCTCTGCTGTGTTTTACAGATGATGTGGTATGCTTTGGATCATGAGCTGCACCACGCCTTCACCATACTTTTCTCTTTCTATCATTCTGGTAGAGGTTGATCTTGGTTTTATCTGTCCAAAGAATGTTCTTCCAGAACTTTTCTGGATTTTTTAGATGTTAATAAAGTGGACTTTGCATGATATGCCCCCTTTAAAGCAGAAAAGCTCCAAATGATTATATATACACACTACAAAAAATAATGCTTATTCCACTTCAACATCTCCCAAGGAATGACCCATTTGAATCACAAAATAAGCATGCTGTTTAGCCCCAATATTCACACATTTCTTCCAGGATCTGGACTCAATTATTGCTGCAGCTCAGACTCCAATGTGAGTCACTTCACTGCTTTTAAAGCTGGTGACCGACTAAGCAAATCGATTTTAGAGACAAAAGTATTTATACTTGCTATAAGCACTTCAGAAAGACTGAGCTGTTGCTTAAGAGGAAAMAGAAAAGCTTACCTAATAATCTGARTAAACATCTACCAGTTCAGACATAWAAGAGTTTGCTTAAGTATTTGCTTACAGGTCTCTACTCTGACAATTTATTTCTTTAATAMCTACTAAAATTATACATTTACAAGATAGTGTTTGGCTAATGCACCCCGTCTGAAGGTTGTGACTGGTGTTGTACAATTACCCGCCCACCAGAGAGACTAAAATGTTACAACCTGACTTGTCCCTGAGGGGAGAGGATAAAAGTAGGTTAAACAAACATGTAGCATCCTGCCTGAACCAGAATCTGTTTMCCCAAATACTTGTGCAAAAACAGTCAATGACAAATCTGGAAATGTCAAAATCTGCAAGTCATTTAAAAAATTAAACAAGCTAGACAAATAAATCTTTTCTAGTCTATTTGAGTTTAGGAGAGARGAGGTGTGACAAGCTTACACTGCAGTAAAAAAAAATGGGGGCAGACAGTCTGTCGGCGCTCGGAGGAGGGAGCAACAGAGTGTTCCTTTATGTGTCTGTCAAAGTCCTAGTATTGATTATAAAGGCAGCAATGTTGTTAGAGCAAAAATACAGAAACACTCACATTATGGCACTATGTTAGCTTAAATACATCTCTTTAAAAATGTTTTTCTAATATTTTATTGGCTTAAGAAACATATTTGATAAAAATAAAAGTCAGAAAAGTAAGAATAATTAAAAATTACTTAATCTTTAACCCAACCAGTTTGTTCTGCAGCCCAAATATAGAAAGTACAAACACAAATCCAGTGAAGTTGGAACATCATGTAAAACATATATAAAAACAGAACACAATGATTTRCAAATCCTTTTCAACCTATATTCARTTGAATACACTACAAAGACAARATATTTAATGTTCAMATGGATAAACTATTGATTTGTTGCAAATATTCACTCATCATGAATTTGATGCCTGCAACACGTTCTAAAACAGCTGGGACAGGGGCAACAAAAAACTGGGAAAATTACAAGAATGCTCAAAAACAACTGCATGGAGCATTCCACTGGTGAACAGGTTCTTTGGACTGGGTATAAAGGGAGCATCCMCGAAAGGCTCAGTTGTTCACAAGCAAGGATGGGGTGAGGTTCACTACTTTGTGAACAAATGCATGAGCAAACAGTCCCATCAGTTTTAGAACGTTTCTCAAGGTGTAAATGCAACAAATTTAGGGATTTGCATTTTAGATTTCATTTTCTACAGTTCATATGGACAAATCTCTGCAAGTAAGCGACAAGGCTTAAAATCAGCATTGAATGCCTGTGACCTTCCTTCCCTCCCTCAGATGGTGCCGCATTAAAAACCAACATCATTCTATAATGAATATTGCCTCTTGGACTCAGGAAAACTTCAGAAAACCAGTGTCAGTGAACATAGTTCATCACTACATATAGAAGTGACAGTTAAAACTCTACCATCCGAATCCAAAGCCATGAATCAACAACACCCAGAAACAACACAGCTCTTTCTGGGCCCGAGATCATCCGAGATGGACTGACMCCARGTGGATAAGTGTCCTGTGGTCTGATGAGTCCACATTTCAAATTGGTTTTGGAAATCATGGACGTGGTGTCTTTAGTTACATTACATTACATTACAATATTACAACTTGCACATCTGTGAAGGCAACATTAATGTTGAAAGCTACATGCAGATTTTGGAGCAACATTTGCTGCCATCCAAACCACATCTTTTTCAGGGACATCATGTTTATTTCAGCAGGACAATGCCAAGCCACATTCTGCACGTGTTACAACAGAGTGGCTTTGTGGT